ATATTAATTCCATTTGCAATATTGAAAACTATAATTTATAACATTACAAAGTTGAAAAGGAAGAACTTGGGAAAAAGAACTCCTGAAAATTATTTAAATTTCTTTAATGAACTAATGGTTTATTCTGAATAATTTTCAAATTTTGGTGTGTTCAATTTAAAACATATTGTATAGTGAAATACATGTATCGGTCTTGTAAACTTTCAAGTGAAAATCTCACATTAAAGTGTGTTTTTTGAATACGATATAATTTTCTGACTGAAAAAAATATTACTTGTATGGCTATTCATGAGATGATGTATTTCACCCACACGTCAACAATATCATTTTCGGAAAATATTTAAGAAATAAATACTATGATTTGAATTCATTTCTCATATTACGGAATGGGTAACTATTTTCTCTGTCACCATTCAATTTTCTACTAGAAATACGTGTTTTTAACAAGGAACTGTCAATATCTACTATGTATATCGAAAAAAGTCATCTAATCAACAAAAAATTGTTTTGAAAAACGAATGCAGAATTACTTACCCAAAATATATATACAAAATAGACTAGATCCATACCAAACACAATAAATCAGGACTATCTCTAGTTCACTAACTGGTTCTGCCTTTCCATACCCAGAATTGTACAGAAGAAGTGATTTGTGGTGTAGTGCACCAAAATACATCACCCATACTCTATTGTCTGTGATCGCTTGAGCACTAAAAAGTAAATATAATATAACAAGGAATAACTAAGACATAAACTGTAAATCAATAGTTACCTATTTGGAACAATCTTCGTGGAAAATAAAGGTTTGCTAAGATCTGCATGAAGCAGTATATGGTTTCTTATGAATACTACAACACAACACATGACGTGCCAGAAAATCACTGTATAAAAAATAACCATTGTTGTCATATAAGTGAAGTGGTTAATGTTGAAATGCTAAAAGAAAAACTTATGAGCGAATGAGTTTCATTGGGATTAGGTCCTCTAAACTTACATTGGCTACCATTCTTGAATATCTGCTAAATTGAATAACTAACAAAAATCGAAATATTGTAAACCACAGCAAACTTGCCTTGGATGAAATACTCATGTGTATAAAAATATCATAGTACGTTGGAAACGATGAAACGAGGTCAAGAAGGAAATTGGTTTTCAAGTAATGTCTGAAAAAAATGAAAATTAAATATAACAAAAGGAAACATACAAATATTTTTGCTACTGGTTGCCCATTATATTTTCTCTGTATACCAATCATATTTTCATTTATGTGAATAATTGCTTATTAAATATGCTTTTCGCGAATACGGTGAGAGAACGTCAATAGATATCCTATAACTCCGGAAATCAGTAAGAGTAAACTAACAACTTTGAGAACAGTAGACGAAAAAATCTTTGAGAAAAGGAAGACAGAGAGGGCACGTTAAAAACTGTTCCTACACACTAGAAGGGCAACACTCTTCTGAACGCGTGTTTCATCAACCAAATCAGCGTTAACGGTAAACTAGTCTGGGTCACAAGATCCTTTTTTTGGAACTTCTGTCCCAGGGCACCGAAAATTATGATCCAAGGCTCATTCGATTCGGAATGACCTCTAGCAACTTTTTGAAAATATTCAAGAGGGGCTCGAAAACATTGCAAAAGTTAAGTATAAACAATTTAGTAAAAAGAGGGGGTTTGGTTTTTTGTAAATATCTAGGAATATATTTGAGATATCCGAAATTTGAAAAAATATCTTAAAAGAGGAGGAAATTTACTAAAAAAAAGTCATACCTCTCGGAACTCTATCACCAATATTTATAGTTTTAATTTAACCCATTAAATAACATTATTGAGAAAAAAAATGCACACACCTTCTAGACCAGGGGTGGCCAACCGGTCGATCGCGATCGACCGGTCGATCGCGACCATTAGTCCAGTCGATCGTGGAAAGGCAAAAAATATAAATAAATAGACCAGACTGCGNAAGAATACGAATAGATTTGAATATCGGAAAAAAATGTTTTCATTGCTTCAATTGAATTTTTCACTTTTTGATTATTAATAACAAAGTGGAAAATCAAATTTTTTCAATTTTTCCAAAGGGAATCTTTTTTGAAGGTTTTCAAGAAAAGCTCCAAGAAGTGAACAAAATTTAGAGGTATGAATGAACAAATACAAATGAAGAGGTTGTTACTTGTATTCTATAATATATTAGTAGCTAAAAGTTGTTTTTATTTGTCATTAATGAATAATTGAGAAGAAGCTAACAAGTTAAGACTTGATTTTTGGCAATTAATATAAAAAACTGTTGATAAGTGAATAAAGACTGTTTATGATAAGTAAACGTAAGTATATTTAGATTAAGAAAAATAAAAGAATGTTGATTGTTGTGAATTAATATGTAGAATTACAATACTTTTTGAGTTAAAAACTTCTGTTCAGGTCAAATTTTTTTTCCATGCAAAATTTCAATTCATCTGTATTAAAATAACATAATAACAATATAACACAATAACAACTCCCGCCAAACGGTCATCTCCCGCTAAAACCAATGGAGCGGAAAGAGGGGATAGGTGAAAGGTGAAAGCACCCGAATGACCTATAAATAGTCAGATCGCGGAGGCAAACATCACTGTTAGTTAGGGAAGCCACAGATTATGCTGTAGCGACCCCTCCCGATATAGAAGGCCTCGACACTCTGTCGAATGAGGCCCTCATGTCCCCCGCTAACGGATGAATAGCTTTCTCATCCATCCCACCCCAGCCAAGTATAGGGGTATCCCGTGAAGGGCGGTACTGATGTCTGAGGACTTCATGCCGCCATATACAATCAGTCATGAACCCATTGGTCCTTCTCGATTGAAGGTTATCAGTCCAATTTTTTTACTCATCCACTAATATCCAGTATGAGGAGTGGTAACACATTCTTTATTGAAACAAATTGAAAAACTTCAGAACATATAAGGTGTACCTATATTCAAGTTAAAATACAAGATTAGTTGGTCCTGAAAATGACGAATAATTCATGAAATGGGGTGTCCTAGTAGACGTTTTGAATTTTTACCTGCAAAAAGAATTGTTCAAATCGGCTGAGAAATAAAAGATTTCATAAGGGTGCTTCCATCTTAAATGGATCACACTGTATGTATATTAATTTGTTTTTCAAGTTTCTGTTCTGATTTATTATTTTTTTGTGCTCTGTTCGTACTCATAGTTGGTTTTTGAATTAGGTTTTCCCTGCTGAAAACATTGTATGTTTCTTGGGCAAATGAATCGTTATTTTCATGAAAGTCCTAATTGCAATTAATGGCTCTAAATGAGAAGTTACGAAAATAAAAAATTCGTTATAATTAATTATAATTGAATAGTTGTTTTTTTCTCTGCTATAAACATTGTATGTTTCTTGGGAAAATAAATATATTATTATTAAAATTTTATAACCCAACTGTATTTGCTAAAAAGTAAAATGTATGCGTTTCCTTTAATTGGGTGTTATACATCGGAAAAAAATAAATATCTATCTATCTATAATAGCACAGTAGATAAACTCATCGTACTGTGAGTAAACCCACACAGCACCAGATATTCATGGAATATTCCCTGTATATCATAAAACGAACGTATATATTCCAAATATTCATAGAATATTCTTGGAATATATACATGCCTTTAGAATATTCATAGAATATGCTTGAATGAATATGGCAGGATTATTCCCGAAAGAATGTGCATAGAATGTCTATAAATGGATTATTCTCTCTTGAATATTCTAAGAATATTGTCGATCGAATATACCATATGGTATATTCTTAGAATATATCCCCACGGTATATTTTGGAATATTCTATACAATGGAATTTTGAATTATCTTAAATATGATAACGTATTCAAATAATTCAATATTATTAAAAACAAAAATATTTGAAGATCTTAATCGAATGCATAACCTAATGTATATAACCCTGATAGTGTTAACCAGTTTTCAGTTTTTGAACTCAACGCGAAGATTCTGGATGAATTGCTCCAACAGCAACTGTTGGAAACGACAAAAAAATTTGAATGGGCCAATAAATGAACCAATTGCATCAATAAATTCGTTAATTCTCATCCTATTTGTCTTTTTGTATTTGAAATTATTTAATTACAAAGCTAAAAATCCTGGAAACAGAGAAATGGGGAAGTGAAGAATTGGAGTAAACGTTTCTCATTGGTCAATTGAAGTGTAGCGAGTCGAATAAGCTCTGTGAAAGCGGTTGTCCCTTAAAGCTTGGTACCTTTGCGTTAAGTTCGACATTTGATTCAACATGGCGGTTGACGTGGCAGGTTCGCGTGTGTAATGCATGGTGTGTTGGTGTTATTTCAAAGTATAATTCTGTCACGTTCAGTGTACCATTTATAATTTGGGGTTGTCCAATTTGCAGTACAGCGAATAGTTTGATTTTCGATCTTCAAACAGGAGAGTTGCATATATTCAGTCTTGAAGAAAAGTAAGTTTGTTTTAATAATTTTTATCACTCGTTTTCAAGATAGTATCAATTTGCCCAAAAGGAAACATAGTGGTACCTGGTACAGGCGGGTGCACCAAGGAACTGAAAACGTAGTGAATACTTTTCAACAAGACAATGCAAGTTGCTTTCCAAGTCATAACATGTTGTAAATGTTCATGAATAACCTATGCGAAAATATCTAGGTATTTGATTTTTATTCCAGTTTTATTGTGCCACTTTCAAATAGTGATAATGAACGTTAATGTACATTTTGTTCCAGGTATTACTATTGAAACACTGGTTGATGCATTGTTGGACAAATATAAGGAAAACTATTCTGGTGAGCAAAGTTTGGATTCCTGGAATATCTATTGCTATGTGGGAATTTATGAATGTAATCCATAGATTCCAGAAAAAGAGAAGAAAGCCAAAAGATATTCATAAAACAATTATAAGAATAAGATATGAGAAGAATTATAAATAGGAAAGACAAATAAAAAAAACGGAATACAAAATTTTAATCGAAAGCCATCGAACATCCACTGTAATTAATTACTATTAGATGCTTATAGTATGAGAAAGTTTGGCTCAATATAAAATATCAGGAATAATCATTTCATCTACTCTACGCAAAAAATGACTTTTTTTTTCTCTAGGCTACCATAGGTATTAATTTTTTACACTTACATAGAAATCAGCTTCACATCTAAAACTACCTTTTGCATTGGTTCGTCATAATATCCTGTCAAACAGTTGACTGGTATATTGAACAGTAAAAGAGTATCGAAATACAACCTAAAGGCATTAAGAATCCCGCTATAAGCGAAATTCTCTTTTTTAAAGTCGAATAACAGGAACAAAAATGGTGTAACTGTCAACTGATAGAGAATGATAACCATCATAATAATAGCCCATACAATTCTAAAAAATTAAAATTTCATCGCTGGACTGAAAGCAAATAAATTCTCTATATCACCTTCCTGTACTGAATGGATGTATTGTGTAAGGATGATATTTGAGTTGTCTTCTCCGTTCAGCGGAAATTGCTCCAAAACTCCGCAGATGGTGGGTATATAATTTACTAGATTCGCTCACGACTCGCAGTCTTACAAACCATCTTTGTATTTTTTTCAAAAGTGAAAAACCTGGTGCATAATTCCAATCGTAGTTATCGGAAATATCATCTAGTGTACAATCATGCCCATAATTTGCAAACTGAAAGGAATACGTCAAGGTAAAAATAAAAAAATTGCAAATTTGAAGTAAGAAATATCTACCATTTTGTGGGCATCCGATTTTACTTCATTTATTTTTATTTCGTTCATAAACTTTGATTTTCTGGACATTTTTCAACCAGCTCAAACTAATTTAACTAAATTTTGACAATTTTCGAACTCTTAGTTGTCACATTCCAATTGTTTGTTACAAAATGAGGAGTAAACAAATAACTGATGAATAATCCATCTCTCCGTTAAAATAAACAACCAGAGGCGGTACGGTGAGAATGTATTTTATTTCTAATAATGAATATTGAGAATTATCTGAATTCAATTTCAAGAATGAACCAACAAATTTTGAAGTACCTATGTAAATAGAAATTTTCGTATGGCAGATACCCGACGGAAAAACAACAACTAACCCAGCTAATGCCGCGCAGAAAACTCAAGTAAAACCATCAGACACCTGTGCAACGTCTTCGAATTGGAAGATGCGTCGTAAGTTATTCTATGAAAAACAGGAATTAAAGTAATTCGATCGATCCGACCAACCGATGGATCGGTTTCTAGGTACTTGCTCCATCATTAGTACCGGGCATGGTCTCTACACAACGGAGTAAATCGTCTGACTATCACGTCCAAACATTGTTTGTCGTCATGATTTCAAACAGGTTGGAGCCTGGCTTCCTTACCCTTTCAACTGATGTTTGTCAGAGGGACAAATGGGAGTTCACGTCCGAACCACCCCCATGCCCCCTCCCGGGTTGATTGCCCTGAAGTAAAAGCTCACAACTAATTTGCGAGGAAAACCTAATACTCCACTCCATCCACCCCCGCTCTCCGAGCGGTCCTCAACTTACTGATGGGCACTTCAGCAAGATTGACATCTGACCTCTTTTGGTCGAAAGTCAGACTTTAGGTGCTATTCTTTCGCGATCGGTTATTCACGTCTAAACAAATATAATTCCAGCTAGTCATGAACTCTTTCTGCAGTTGATTCAGTGGGATGTCCACTGCGTCACCTGCAGACAAAGTCAGGAAACAAATCCACAAACACATACTCTGGCGTGGGATTCAGAATAATGATTATATTCCGGAGAGGTGCATATGACATATTCCAGATTCAGGTGAAAACACCTCACCTCACGTACCTATAAAGTCGTAGGTCTGAATGAGAGGCACCATTTCTATTTTATTGTATTTTATTAATGTTTTATTCGAAAACGCGAATAAAGACATTTTCAAGTTATTTTCAGAATTTGATGTTTCCTAGTATGAGTTTGAAAAAATTAGTTTTCTGTCTCTTTCAGACGGGATGGTACATTTGTAACAGTTTTGCGGATGAAATGTTTAATTATAAAATTATGGTTATTCGTATAGGAGGTATCGATATACTAGAATGATAATTCTGTCAGATGGTAGAATTTTTTTTTCGAAGATCAAATAAAGCCCCATTTCATAATTCGCCTATCCATATGCCTTTCACGTATCGTGTGTCGATACTATGTCTTGCAAGACGTACTTTGTTTACATACTGAATGTGGGAAATTTTTCGTTTACATACTGAATGTGGGAAATTTGTAAGATTGGCTAGTCTAATATAATCGTAGGTAAACCAAGATCGGTGAAATCGGAAATGTTGACCGAAGAGCTCTTTAATCAGGTTTGTTCCTAACTCACAAAAAAATCGAAAAACATAAATACTATTAAAATGCGCTTCCATTCCTAAGTAGAGTTTCAATGTATAATTTGGAGCGGAGAATCTCAATCTATACTTAAAGAGGCATCTGTATTCCAAATATTATCATCTATGCCCTGACTATAGACTTCGAATAGAATTCAAAATATTGTCTCTGGATAATGGACAAAACCTGGTGATTATGTTAATGATAAAATCAAGTCACCATTGACGTTATCTTGGATATCATTTCACGTGCCTGCTCGTCGTATTCGTTCTTCTGCTATCTTCAATGATTTAACATACTAGGAATTCCTTTGTAGCCATGCTTCGACTAGCCAACAAATATCAATTAACTCATTTTGTTAGTGAGATGCATAAAAGCAGAGGCAATGGCACATGGTGATTGTACTCTAAGTCAGAAAAATTACAAATGGTGTGGTAGACGCTTTTCACAGAAGTAGAGATGTGGACGCCCCAGCACATCAGCAAACGATGAAAATGTTGAGAAAATTAAAAAAATTATGATGGAGAGTCGTCGATTCATAACCTTGCATAACCGCTGACTGCTGACAAATGATGGGTGTATGGTTATGAGATCAAAACTGAAGTCAAATTGTCCCAATAGAAGAACCCAGGAGAGAGAGGTCTTGGCTCCCCTGGGTTCTATCTGGGTTCTATCAAATATGAAGGTTTGGCTCATTATTTCCTTCGATTGCCGTGGCGTAGTGCATCAGATGCTCTTGCCACATGGTCGTACTGTCAATAAGGAGTATTATATTGAAGTTATACGCCGCTTGCGAGAAGCAATACGAAGAAAACGTCCGGTATTGTGGAAAAACAATGCATGGCTTTTTCATCACGATAATTCACCTGCTCACTTGTCGTTGCTTGTTCATAATTTTTTCTCCAACAACAACAACGTAATCATGCATCAGTCACCGTATTCGCCAGATTTGCCCCTCTGCGACTTTTTCGTGTTCTCAAGATTGAAGAGACCCATGAAAGACGGCGTTTTGCAACAATTGAGGAGACAATAACCGAATCGTTGAGAGAACTGAAGGACATACCAAAAAGTGCATATTACAGTATTGGAAAAAACGCTGGCACCAGTTTATTATATCTGAGGGGGACTGCTTTAAATGGGACAAAATAGAAATTGGTGAACAAATAAATAGTTTTTGAGAAAAATGAAAAGTCACCTTATTCTTTGGACAGAGTAGTATTATAAAAATTGGGAATATATTCAATACTTGTTATGATAATAATATTAATATAATTTTCCATTAAATATTATGTGTCTTGTCCATGTAATTAGATCAGATTGGTCTGCTTGGATACAAAATATAAAATAAAAAAACTGTTCGCAATATCTTTTTATTGTCAAGAATGTATTTACATGTTATGTATTTACATAACGATAGAAACACCACTTGTGTGTGTGATTGAATTTTTTTTAATCTATAAATATTCATCTCTTTCAACTATCTAGCTACCTGGTAAATGCCTGCCGTAAAACAACTACTTCCCCGGCCAATACCACGTTGGATATTGATTTATGTTAGAGTATTGGTACCTGGGATGTTTCTTCCCAGTTTGAGGCTTTGTTCACGAGATGGAGTTGTTACTAGTTATCAATATTTCTTTCAGACGAAGGTTTCGTACATTCAGTTGAGCCGCGTTGAAATTAATCGAGTGCCAGGTATTTTGCTGTTTGGATCAGATCTTTTCTGCACTGAGGAAAGGTAATACCTTGATACCGGTCTGCAGGTGATTAACTCGAATAATTTCAGTTTGGTCCTGCTACTGGATGAACGAGAAACATCTGCGATACTAATCTTTGTGAGGTATATTACATGAATATCTATTGGATAAAATTCAATATCCAGCTTGGTATTAGCCAGAAAGTAGTTGTTTTTCCGGTAGGTATTCACAAAAATCTAGGGTGTAGGTAGTTGGGAGGTAGTTCAAGGTCAAAAAACTATAGCATTTTATTTTTATTTCTGAATTCATTTCTAATATTTTGGAATGTTTCTGGAGTAGTGCTAGGTTGTGTAACATAAACTTTAGGTTTGTGACAGCTCCAAAAAATTTAGACCAGTCAAATCCAGTGAACGAGCAGGCCATTCCAACGGACCGCGTCTACCAACCCGTAAGCCTGGGTATGTTTAATCCATCCAATACCTTGAAGGCCTAAAAAAATGTTGAACAACAACATCTTGTTGAAAAACAACTGAATTCTCGAATTCATCTTGAATGTTGACCATCATTTTTTGAATATGTGTTTGAATGAGGTTTTTGAAGAATTTCCAAATATAAATCATCAGTTAGATTCTCCTCTAAATATATGGGACCAACAATATGACTTCCCAAAATTTGGAACTTCTCGCAAAATATGTGGGTTTATGTACGACCAATATCGCATTTTTTGGCAGTTGACATTTTCATTCGAGAGAAATATGCATTCGTAACTAAAACACATATTTTTTTATAAAGTTTCGATTTGCAATGAAACGTTCAGACATTACCTCACAAAACTGCATTCTCCTGTCAGATCCATCTTCATTTAATTCATGTAATAGATTCAGTATAGTGGTGAAATTTATGTCTTCTGAGGTATTTCATGACGGTGTTTATTGAGACATTATTCTGACGAGCACAACAATTGAACTATTGTTGTGGACTGCGTTGAATTATTCACTACAGACGCAAAGATGTCTATCTGTTTTTTGCCCGAGCTCATCTAGCTCTAGCTGTACTTCCAGTTGTTTGAAATTTTTCAAGCAATTCCCTGAGATGTTTTCGGCAGATCGGAATGATCGGATTATCAGGAAATCTTACATTGGACACCCTTTTTACCTGATGAGAATTACGGTTGATTTGTTTTCTGTTTTTAAGCTAAAGATTTGGTGCAAACTATTTTTGAAAATTTGAACGAAATATGAATGAAGCGAATTCTCAGTATCAATAGTGCAGTCATTGCAATATCGTAGAGATACCTCTACCGCTTTTTTGCATAGCTGTTCTATAGCTTGGCGAATTTCAAACCTTCATCTACATTCGGTCCTAGGAATTTTGATGGTACTGAGCTTTTCATTTCTCACTAACATATTACACTTACACTTGGTTCTTGTCAAGAAATAATGATATCACCAGCGCATACTGTACGTAAATCTTCCAGATGCATTCATGTGTGCCAGGCTATTAATATATAACAGAAGAAGAGTTGGTTAAATACTGAAACTGAACCTGATACACCATAAAAATTATTGTTTGTATATGATAAGAAAATTGATAGTATGATAAACTATCTACGATTTGCAAAATACATTTGAATCCACATGAAACTAATTAAAACCGATTTAATAACTCGCCTATATACTGTCAATTGTCAATTATTTTTATTTTTATGGTTAATTCAGTGACGTCATAAATGTTTATGGGTTAATTGTTTACTATTTTGTCAATTCTGAGGTTAGGTCAAAAATTTATGGTTTGATATTGTGTTATTGTGATTGTGAAACTGTGAACAATGATGCGTTCGATATTGGAAGGATATCTGAAAGAAACATTTATCCTGAATCTTGTTGTACTCATATAATGATGAATTAAAAAAAATTAAATAATGGGGGACTCCGTACTTACTGTGAATCTTGTTTTAGACCCCAAAATTATTACAGTTCCTTATAATGGGTCTACTACTTGTGAGGATGTTTGCATTTATGTTTGTAAACAGCTTAATATTGGTACCCTAACGCGACATCTCTTTGCACTGCGAATTACTGGTAAAAATGTTTTTCTCACACCAGCTGCTAAATTTAAGGAAAAACCTTCGGCTTTGGATCTGAGAATAAGATTCAAAGTACCTAATATTACTAAATTGAAAAAACTTGATTTGAATACTTATAATTATTACTTTCATCAAGCTCGTAATGATGTATTGGAAAATAAGATTCCAGATATTGTCTATGAAAAATATAGAAGGGAACTGATTGGTTTGGGAATTACTGATATGTATAGAGTCATGCTGGAGAAAGATATTCCCAGAGAAAGTGTAGAAAATGATTATAAGAAGTACATTCCGAAGGAAGTTTTGAAACGGCATGCTTTTTTTATCAAAAAGCCCATTCATGACACCTTGGGTAAGCTCCAGAAATCTGTGCATGATGCCTCGTAAGTATTGACACTCATTTTCCTTAATCAATCTTGAAATGTTCTGTTATAATTTCAGATATGTTAAAGCAGAATATATAAGGCAGCTAGAAATTATTGCTCCCGAATATTTATCTGAATCATTTAAAGCTGTAATTGATCAGGATGGTTCTATTTGCAATATAATTATAAATGTTACTCCATGCCAAAATGCTGAACCAGAAGTGAGATACTGCCTGGAATCTAAAAAAGATGTGAGTTGATAGTTTTCATATAATAACAATTCTGAAAGTCAATAATTATAAAGCAGTGATTCCAATAAAAGTTATATTAATATTTAAGGAAATCATTTAACAATAACAACAATTTTCTTTTAGTTATGCATTCAATAATTTTTACTTGAATTATTTCTTTATTCATTTCAAGAAATAAACCTGTTGATACTACGGATTTGAACAGAAATGAAAACCACCATGCATAAACATAACAAAAAAAACTAGAAATAATAAAATGATTGATAATATAATATCAAAAAATCTCTTGAATAGATGGGGGTTTATTTGTAAACAAAAAATTATATTTTTTATTAATCTAGAGTTTCTGGTAGGCTGTTATAAATAAAGATACCTTACTTTAATAATGATCCGGTGGATTGATCTGCAAAGAGTTTATTCCTCTGGTATTATAATAATGTACACCTTCAATTTGTACTTGTAAAAATCACATTTTTTAAAATTGTTCTTGATGAGAATATGTCATTGTTGAGTTATTATCAAAGCAATAGACAACTTTGCCAGAATTTAATCGTCTCTATATCTCTCATCATATTAAAAAAATACTTCGATGTAAGATTTCTATTCGAAAGTGTGCAAAACCTCAACACATGTTTTGCTATACAATATCATCTTTGGGCATCACAGTACATTAAAGTGTTTTTTGTTATATGTCATAATGGATTTTCATCAAGTATCAGTCAGTTCTATCATATTTATGGAGAAAATCATAGTTTTTTGTTGACCTTCTTTGAGTATTTTCACCTTCCACAATCCGATGTAGAAAGGGCAAACTTTTTAGTTCACTCAAATAAATTCAAAATATTTTTCCCAAAAAAAAATGTTTTATTTATCAGTACCTTGTTGTATTTAATCATTTTTACTGTCCAAAAAACTAAGAAATTAAATTTTATAGCTAGATACCTAATAACTATGATTTTTAATTATTTCAAATACTTTCAGCAATGGTTTTTGATATGTTCCATAGAAGACCTTGGATTCATATCGATAAGAAATGACGGAACAATAGAAATAAGTCGTAAAAATGGAATACCTTTCTACTTGAAATTCAATTCATATATTGTTATGCTTTCTTTCATCAGCCTTTTGGATGGATATTATAGAATGACATGTAAATGGACTTTTAATATTTGTAAAGAGGTATACACACCATCTTTACAAAAACTCCATAGTATGAAATGCCATGGTCCTGTGGGGTAAGTAAAACTTTGACAAACCCATTTGTAATTATCTTTAGTGTATTTTATTGTATTTAATTTCAGGGGTGAATTTTCTTATGCAAAACTTGAATCTAAAAGGGCTAATAGATCAGGGTGCTTTATATTAAGGGAAAGTGAATCCCGATACAATGATTACTACATTGATGTTTGTATGAAAGATGGGTAAGTTATCTAGGAATATCACAGGAATGTCTGGAAATGGAATTAATGATAATAAATGACTTATTGAAACTAATTGAATTGATTAATTAGGCTATTGATCTCTACCTATTATAATAAACTCCTCGTTCCTATCGTAATTATATCAATAGTAGATTAAAATTACATTTACTGCAATAAAAACAGTATAAAATAAACTAGTGAAGAATCTTAGAGATCTTCTATAAGGATGATGTTTTGAAGCTCTATTCTTAGTTCAGGAATATTGTGTGTACATATTTGAACATTTTGCAGCATATCATTTTGTAGATGGGACTGGCTATGTTTGTGCATATTCTGTTTTCCTCTATGAACGATGGTTTTAGAAGTATACAAACTTTGCTGTATGCCTTAGAGAAATCAAACTATTCTCCTAAAATTTTGTTATTAACGACTTACACAACCATATATGTTTCAGTTTCAAACCAAAAACATTTAAATTGGAGAAGATAACTGGTGATGAGTTTATTTTCAATGATGATGTTACTAGATATAAGAGCATAAAACAGCTCATGATGGCTTATCATGATCCGAACGGACCAATTTACCTTCATGAATGTTTGCCTCCTTCCGAATATGGTAAGATGATATTCATATATATTGAGTTAGTACATGAATTTTTCAATTCAAGAAAATTTGAACCATTGAGTAATTAATATAGAAAGAGCATTTTTCAGGAAAAAATTTAATATAGAAACATTAATGGCACTTATACATAATTTATTATTATATAAGGTCTTTCATTAAGTGCTTCCTATCTTTAAATTCAAATAAAACAACGTTTGGGTGTGATATATCTTAGAAATTCGTTTGAAAGACTTATTGGGGGCAATATGTGTAGAATATAACATCGTTTAAATGTCCGCCACGGGTTCTCTGGACGGAGCGCATCCGAAACGTCCAATTTTCCATGACTTTGGCGCATAAATCAGGCTGAATTTGAACGATGGCATGGGTTATGTTTGCTTTGAGCACCGCTGTGGTTTGTGGATTAATCGCATACACCTGTGACTTTAAAAAACCCCACACGAAAAAGTCTAACGGGGTCAAATGGCACGATCTTGGAGGCCAGTTCACATCACCTCCAAGTGAGATGACCATGCCCTCAAATCGCTCATGTAAAATATCCAATGTGGCATGTAGCCTCGTCCTATTAAAATCACGTGTTGTTGGTGTCCAGATCATTCAATTCAGACAAAAAAGTTGGTGATCACTTTCCAACGGCGTTCTCAAAGAAATATGGACCGATGACGCTGCTAGCCCAAAATCCACACCAAACAGTGACTTTTTCATGATGGATGATCGTGGATCTCATGTGAATTAGTATCGTCCCAAGTTCGACAATTTTGTTTGTTCACGTACTCATTCATCCAGAAATGGGCCTCATCGCTGAAGATGAGCGACGCGATATCGACTGTCTTGAACACTGACAGCTTCGATGTTTTTGTCAGATCTTGCATTTCGTCAACGTACGGGTGTTGATCGATCGTTTACTGAACCAGTGGACTCAAATTTATCCACCACATTGCATTGATTCCTTCATGACTAAAAATTTGTACGATTTGAGCGATTTTAACTTCCTACTGAATTTGTAAAATTACATCTAAATCAGTGGAAATCTAATAAAGATTGTAATACATAACAATTTTTAAAAAGTTTACTCATCAAGAATTATATATATTATGGGTATTTATTTTTATTTATTATTTTCATTATCGGATACATATGAAATTGCCAATTTAAAAAACACAGATAATGATGAATAAAATATCTACAGGAGAATAATTTTGAGTTAATTATAATAATGAATTGAAATTTTCTGAATTTTTCAGATATTTCTCCTCTACTTCTTTGTAGAAATGAAAATCTTGTTGGGGATTCATTGACTGACAGTTCAGCATTGAATGTGCTCATTCCTACTTCTCCAGTATGTATAGATTGTAGGAATTTACAAGTTTATAAGGGTAAGTGATTTAAAATTTTGTATACAGAGCAACAGTTCCATTAGTTACTGAAATTATAATTTATTCAACTATTATCTACTGCTTAGTTGTCAAGGGATGACTTCAAAGGGCGACAAGATCAGAAAATTCGCGAGAAAATATGATAGTTCATCATGTTTAAGGGGACCATTGCACAACTCAAGAAAATCAAAGATAATATCATAATAACGTTTTGTATTGAAATTTCTGCATGTTGGAAGTTTAGCATGGCCCTGAAATAATGCTAATAGTTATTTATTGTTATGTTCATATGTATACAGATTGTCTGAATGACTATATTGAAAAACAGTACTATTAACAGTAGTAGTTGTGAGTAAATAATGATATAGATTTGTATCAGAGATTTCAATTTTAAATTAAAATACCTTATAATTCTGCAATCAAAGAATGCAAAAGATTACATTTATTATTACGCAATACTGAGTTCATTTTATATCATTATTATTTTTGCAACAAAGTAGATCAAATATATATTCCGAATTCGTTTGTAGATATTTATCTCAATATCACTTTTAAGCAGGGCTCAGCACCAACTCAGGCACTGCGACTGTTACCACATTGCCTTTGATAATGTCTACAGCAGTATTAGTTATCTTCTAGGATTTGATCTCTCCACGACCCTGAAATGGGTTTGGCACAGTTTGTAATTCATCATAGTTCAGCATAAAATCAAATGTGTATTACTTGTATATATAATTCAATTTGTAATAATTGTGATATCAAAGAATGTAAACGTTCACGGCCGGAGATAACAATATGAAAGCTATTTTCTTGCAGGCCTGCAGGTTTTTATGTTTGACTTTTTGTCTACTACTGCGGTAGACATTCTCAAAGGCGATGTGGTAACGATTGCAGTGCCTGAGTTGGTGCTCGAGTTGTTGTTACCGTTGTTCCCAACTCGAGAACAACAACAAGTTTTTATGCCTGACGTTTTGTCTAATACTACAGTTGACATTATCAAAGGCAATGTGGTAACAGTCACAGTGCCCGAGTTTGTACTCGAGTTGTTGTTCCCGACTGGAAGCATCAACCTGTTGTTCCCAACGAGTTGTTATTCCCAACAAATTTTGCATTCGAAGTATGGAAATGATTTGTTTGCGTTATTTTCTAATCCAAAATCTCAAATACTTATTTGCATTATTGTAATCATCCCTGCCTCGTATATCGATTTTCTTTCTTTCTTTCTTTCATTCTTTTTTCAAGTCTTTTTAGATTATGACCAATATTATCGTTATCATTATTACTGATCTTTTAATTTGTTGAGTAATAAACGATTTATTATTATTGCTGAAAAAAGTTAGTACAGTAACAACTACGCTATCATTTCAATTCATGAATGAAATAAAGTTGTGTAAAAGTCATAGTTTCCTTTAAAAAGTGCACATGTTACTTACAGAATCAACAAAAGTTTAAAGGATATGGTTTGAAAAACTGTATACCACTACAAAAAAAAAGCAATGAAATAAACTAGAAAGAAACAAGTTATGTGCCGATTGGTAAAGTTGTTTTAATGCGTAAAGTAAGTCTTCTGATATATCAGATATTCCTGTTTATTTGGTTTACTGAAGTCCTCTGCCTATTTCACCATCAACAATCTGTTTAAAATCTGTTTCCCCTTAAACAATGTTGTAATTCAGTTTTTATTAGTATTTATTTTTAGTACTTGACAACGCACAACCATGGCATTTGAATTGAATTATAATGTTATTAATGTGAAACTGCAGAAAGATCATTAGAACTAAATAATAGAAATATCTAATATATCAAAAGACTTGCTTCTCACTTTATAGTTTTTTTTTATTTTTCCATCTTTTCATTAGTCATTCGTTTTTTTACATATCTTCTATTGTCGAAATTATTCTGACAGATATTTAAAGAAATGAGAATTAAATAATTTTTTTTCCTGAGCTATTCACAAAATCTCTTGTAATTAATTACGTTTGATGACAGTTCAATAATCTGTCAAAAATGATTATTTTAAAAGTTTTGCTAATATTTTTTGTATCCAATTTCACCCTTACGGAAGAACCTCCAGGTAACATAACCGATTTGAATATCTGTAAAGTGAGTCACCTCGGTCTAGAATATACAGGACATATTGCGAAAAGTGAAAGTAAAGTGAGGTGCCAGTCCTGGACGTCAGAAGTGCCACATAAAATTAGAGAGGATCTTTTGGATTCTCAATTTTCTGATGTTTCGAAAAAGAAGGCAAAAAATTACTGTAGAAATCCGACAAAGGACAACGTAGGTCCTTGGTGCTATACCATGAACTATGACTTACAATTTGAAACTTGTGGTATACCCTTATGTCAGTACTCGCAGTGCAAAGTCACGGGACCTGGTATGGAGTATGCAGGTGAACATAAAAAAGGCGTATCTGGTAAGTATATTTTCATAGTAATTATTTGTAGGTCTAAATTCCACAGCTGAATAACGGAAAAACAGATTTGCTTTAAATTTAACTTGAAATGATGCGGCTAACTGCGACCCACTGACGTTCAGTGTTTGTTAAATTCAACTTTTTTTTTTATTGAAAAAGTGCATTTCTAGATCGAATTTAACAAAAAGTTACTTGAAAAAGTTGTGTCTACGGCAATTTTATATCCATATGCCAAATTTTATGCAACTAGGATAAAGTTAACGTTTTGCTTATTTTTGACAGATATCCCCTTTATTTTAAAAAACAAGTTCGGTTAATTGTCATCAATTCGTGTATACATAACAAACTCATCATGGAGTTTAACTTTTCTGATAAATTTTCACTTATTCGGACATTTTTAGAGAGAAATTAAAAATGTGCTATAAAAATTTCAACATGACTGGTGCAAAGTTTGGCTATTTTCTTAAACAAACGTCAGTACCTTCAATTTTTAAAAAGCAGACACAACTCAAAAACTGCAATAAGTATTAATAAAATTACTAGAGTTGAAATTACATTAAAATTTCAATATTCAGTATTTACAGATTATTTATAAACACTAACTAGGGCGGTAAGGATGCTTAATTATGTTGAATAAAATTTTTAAGTAGGTCTTGACAAACAAAATGCATGTTATGGTAGTGTCAAGTTGTTGATTTACTTGTCAAATTTTTAACAGTTATTGTTGCAATAATGTTGTCTCTTCAGGAAAGAATAGAAATAGTTTTAATATGTGGTGAGAATACACCATACCGGCA